ACGGACAGTCGACTGCGGCTCATGAATGAGATTATATCGGGGATGCGAGTCATCAAAATGTACGCCTGGGAGCAGTCCTTTGCCAAACTGGTGGCCACCGCTAGACAGTATGTCCCTGATCATTATACAGTATGATAGTAATATTGTATTTTATAACCTTTTAAAATTTTTATGCAAATCTTATAATAGTTTATAAAAACTTGATGCACTTTGCAATATAACTGTACTAGAACGTTAGGAATAACCATTATGAATAAATAACCAAGGATATTTACTATAGAAACGAAGTTCGTCGCATACAAATGGCCTGTTTTCTTAAGTCCATCAATTTGTCGGTGTATTTGGTGGCCTCCCGTATAATACTGTTCGCGTGTTTTATCGCATATGTGTTAACCGGGAACCTATTGACCGCAAAAACCGTGTTCGTCACAATGACCCTGTTCAATAGACTCAGGACCACTTTGACACTACTGTTCCCCAACGCCATCGCCCAATGCGCTGAACTCGCGGTGTCGTGCACTCGCATCCAGGTATTTATTTATAAACTATAAACCAGCTAAAATAAATAGAGATTGTAAGCTTTTTACTTGAATATAAACAATTATAAATATGTTTATAATTATAAATTAGATAATCAATGAACACGGTTACTAAAATCAATATTAGTACAGTATTTACATTACACCACTATTGATTTAATTATTTAATTAATTACGATAATAACTTAGATTTCAGATACACTTTTGTTAATTAATCGTAACAAAACTATTGAAAGTATATAAAATATTTGTCTAGACATTCTTGGAATTGGGGGAAATGGAGCCTAAAACATATAACACTACAAGTGTTTGTGATTTAACTGGCTTACACATGAAAAATGTAAAACTAAAAGTTTTTGTCAATAATATATCCGCCAAATGGAGTGAAGTATGGAGTATAGTACTCATTTTAATTTTTGTACTAGCTCATATTTATTATATGTGTGATCAGGATAGTCCTTTTGCGACCATTAAAAACATTTCATTTAATATAAATCCTGGAGATCTATTAGCGGTGATTGGACCGGTAGGGTCGGGAAAGGTATGTTTGTGTTGTTTATTAAACCACACGTTAGTTAAATAATTTAAAGTTTAAATTATAAGTTTAAATAAACTATTTTATAAATTATTTTTATAGAGCTCACTACTCATGTCTATACTTAATGAGCTACCGGTGCTCGAGGGGAGCATACGAACGGTGGGCACCATTAGCTATGCCTCACAAGAGCCCTGGAGTTTCAATAATAGCATCAGAAATAACATACTGTTTGGCAGTGCATACGATGAGCACCGGTATATACAGGTAGTGCATGTCTGTGCTTTGTGTTGTTTATTAAACCACACGTTAGTTAAATAATTTAAAGTTTAAATTATAAGTTTAAATAAACTATTTTATAAATTATTTTTATAGAGCTCACTACTCATGTCTATACTTAATGAGCTACCG